TAAATACAAAACTACACATGATTTTAGTAGTAATGATAATATGAATTTTTTTTACCAAAAATATATATTACACATATAAAGAAAACTTTTTTTATTTTTGACGTATAAAAAAACTAAAATGTGTTTATGAATTTTATAATTGAAACAATTAGTAAAAACCAACTATCGTAATAAAATGTAAGAAAAAACAAATATTTTCTATATTATTTTTAAAATTTATATATTCTATGAAATATGAAAGGATTTTTCTTATTAAAAAATTTGTAGTTCAATAAAAACAAAATCTTACATTCAATCACACGTTAGGAAGACCAACGTTTAAGAAATAGTATCCTAAAATCTCAATTATTATTTTACGATGAACAAAAACCAAAATATACATAAGCTTACGAGACTAAGATAACTGAACAAAAATGCATAAAACTATTTATATCCATTAAAAAGCAATTTCAATAAGATTACGAGTTTCTTCAACTCTAGCTAGCAAAAACCTAAATCAAACTTGAAGAAGAAAACTTACACCTTAGTGATGAAGAGATAAGCTTTCCCATTCCACGATTGAAAATACTGTAAACAACAAGCAAACAAGATGTTGTTCAGTATCTTCCATATGCCACAATACTAAAATATGGTGAAGTACGAAGTATAAGAGAATAATAAATAGACATTGTGAAGACATATGGAAACCACCTATGATTGATAAATCTATTATAAAGATAAATTAAAAATGATTGTTAAAATTTTTATCATCAAATTCGTAATCGGTTATTTAGATATGTAAATAACATAATTTATCTAATGGCCATATGTATGTAAATAACAAAGTTTTAAACAAATAACTTTTAAATGGTAACTTCGATATTTTCATGCATCATTAAAATTATTTTATTTTAAATAAAATATTATTTTATATCTACAAAAAATTTGTTGTTTTTACCATAACATAAATACTAAAAGTAAATAATTATTAAATTATATAAATTATATAACAAAATTTCTATTCTAGACTACACATTACTTTAGTAGTAATGATAATATGAATTTTGTTTACACATATAAAAAAACCTAAAATGTGTGTATGGATTTTATATATGAATTTTGTTTTACCAAAGTTATATATTACACATATAAAAAAACCTAAAATGTGTGTATAGATTTTATAATTAAAAAATTATTAAAAATCAACTAACGTAATAAAATGTTAAGGAAAAAAATCTTTAGATATGGAAAGTTTTTTCTTACTAAAAAGTTTGTAGTTAAAAAAAAAATCTTACATTCAACCACACATTAGGAAGACAAAATTTTAAGAAATCTTATCTTAAAATCTCAACTATTTTTCTACAATGGACAAAAACCAAAATATATATAAGTTTACCAGATGAAGATAAATGACAAAAAAATACATAAAACTATTTTAAAATGAACTACGGGTCTTTTCAACTGTGACTAGCAAAATCTTAAATCAAAGTTGAAGAAGAAAACTTACACCTTACTGATGAAGAGATAAACTTTCTCATTCATCGATTGAAAAGAATGTAAACAACAGGCAAACAAGATGTTATTCAGTATATTCCATATGCCACACTACTAAAGAAATTGTGAAGTGCTAAGTATAAGATAATAACAAAAAGACATTGTGAAGACATATGGAAACCAGTTATGATTGATAATTCATACTACTATAAAGATAAATTAGAAAATGACTGATAAATTTTATCTGCAAATTCGTTATCGATTATTTAGATATCATGATTTATCTAATGGTCTAATATATGTACATATGGTTTTTAATTAAAAAATGCCCTCAATTATTCTCGGATCATGAAAAATTCCCTCAATTTTTTTTAGATAAAAAAACCCTCAACTATACTTCCTTAATGGGTCTACAATAACGTTTAATTCTAATAAAAATTATTGTCTTTTGTTACAAAAACGACAAAGCGTCTGAAATATTGACCAAAACATTAAGTTGTTTACAGGAAAACAACACAAAGTGAATCTTATGAAGAAAAAAAAACGTGATCGTAGGTATACTGTAAATCGTG